CCACCTCTCCCTCCACCTGTTCTCCGGAACATGTTTTTGTAAAAGATGAATTGGGTCACTCACTGAGAAGGTGACAGCAATTGATCCAGCTAGCTTCACCTGTCCCCTACTTAACACCTCCCCCACTGGTCACTTGGTAGGAAAAGGGGAAAAAAGCATGCAAAAGATGAAACTTTAAGAAATAAAAACTTTCATCTTGTAGTTAGGGCTGTAAGTCTTCAGAGAAATCTACCCCCGGCTGCTCACACGGAGCTGTGGATTGAAGGTTTTGTGCCCCTGTTGTGATGTGTGGATAAGACCCATTCTAGGGATAATAACTGATTGAAGGGCAGACCAGTAACTCCCCTCCCTGCCTAGGGCCCCAGCCAGAATAGAATATTTGGCTTCAGTTAAATCAGACTTTCTTTTTAGTAATAAATACAATTTTTGATGAGGTGCATGGTAAATTATGGCTGTTTCCCCTCCTTGCTTTCCCGTCTGCAAATAAACTTATTTGAGTGAATGAGTCAACCTTGCCCTGGGAGAAGGTGCCAGTACCCTGGAACCAGCTGCCTTATTTAACAATAGACCAGACTGTACTTTCCTTCATGTTCTGCCCAAATCAAGATTCTGAAGCCTCTGGATTTCTATTTTTGGAGAAAATGGCTCAGGAGCCCCTGCGAACGTACCTAACCAAAAGAAACCTACACTCCGAAGGTCATGTCCCTAGAGGACACAAATAACTCTCGAGTTTTCTCTGCTGAAGACAAAATAATAGGGAGCTCACCGATAACAACCGAGATGTGGTTTCCATCTGAGGATCCCGCAGTTATATAGTGGTGTAAATGTCTGGCCTCTGCCGTCTCACTAGAGTGGCAGGGGCCTCCAGGACAGCCAGAATTTAACTTTCAATTCCTCTGAGAGCCATGCATAGTGCTTTGCTCAGAAAGTGTTGGTTGAATTAAACTGGAGAACTTTTTTTTTTTTTGAGACAGAGTCTTACTCTGTACCCCTAAGTAGAGTACCATGGCATCATAGCTCATAGCAACCTCAAACTCTTGGCCCAAGAGATCCTCTTGGGACAAGAGTCCCAAGTAGCTGAGACTACAGGTGCCCCCCCCCCCACAGCACCGAATTAGTTTTTCTATTTTTATTAATTTTTTTTTCACAGTTTTTGGCTAGGGTCAGGTTTGAACCCACCACCACTGGTATATGGGGCCTGCGCCCTAATCCTTTGAACTACAGGCACCACGCCCTTTTTTTTTTTTTTTTTTTAGAAACAGAGTCTCACTTTGTCATCCTTGGTATAGTGCTGGGGCATCACAGCTCACAGCAACCTCCAGCTCCTGGGCTTAGGCGATTCTCTTGCCTCAGCCTCCTGAGTAGCTGGGACTACAGGCGCCTGCCACAATGCCCAGCTATTTTTTTGTTGCAGTTTGGCCAGGGCTGGGTTTAAACCCGCCACCCTTGGTATATGGGGCCGGTGCTCTACTCACTGAGCCACAGGCGCTGCCCAGCTTTTCTATTTTTAATAGAGACGAGGTCTTGCTCTTGCCGAGGCTGGTCTGGAACTCCTCAGCTCAAGCAATCCACCCACCTCAGTGTCCCAGACTGCTAGGATTACAGGCGTGAACCACCGTGCCCAGCGCTGGAGAACTTCTTGAGAGGGAAGATGGCAAGACTTAGGTGGGGATGGTGGGATACCCTCTCTGGAGATAGTTCTCTGAGGAGTGGATGTTTAGCAAAATCAGGGGCCACTCAAATGCACAATATTCTCCTCATATATCCACAAAACCTTCAAGTATCCAGAATTTTTAATTCAGTCAGCTTTCTAACAGGCTCCAGTCCCTTGGGGCCTCATCTATTTTTGCGTATAATAAAAATTTGCTGGAGGAAGCAGGAAAGGGCCAGAGCCTAGAAAGGTGGGGACTAGTCTCATGATGTGATACACAGTTGCTCTGACCAAAAGTGTCCCCCTGCCTGGCAAGTGGCCTTCCAGAGAGGCATGCCCACTGCCACTGTATACCCAGAATGGGATCTCAGCTCCATGAGGACCCCTTATCCACAACAGCAGGCTCCCTGAGGTTCCTCAGAAGATAGCACTCTCCACTTGCTCCCCACATGCTGAGCATGTGATGGAGCCCCATCTGACTCAGAGACCCTGGTTCCCAGGAGCCCTGCAGAGAGACCCAGACAGTGGGAATATTTGGATAGATATTGGATTCTAAATAGATATTTGGATTCTAAATATTTGGATATTTTGTCAGAGGGTCTACCCTTTTTGTCCTCACCTGACCTCAGACCATAGAAACTCCAGTCTCAGAGATCACTGCAATAGTTACTCAACACTTTCTAGGAAAGTTTACCTGGGAAGAGGGAACAGTCTGTCTTTCGGGGGAGGCCACTTCCTGCAGCCCAGTAGTCCTGACAATGCAGAACATACATGCCCACCCCAGCACTGCCCTGCACAAGCATAGGCTTCCTTTGCACCTCTCCATGGCCACCTCTGCATTACCTGCTCTTTAGGCAAGCTATGGTGGGAGACAGTTGCTTGGACTAGCAGAAAACGATGTGGTCAAGGGCAACTAGAGTCAACTTGAGCTGGGCGGGAGCTACGGAGGGTCAGAGATGAGACTGCAGCTCATGCCTCCTGGATGATTACTTAATCATTTCCAGCATGGAATGCTGTCAACCTTTGCTACAGACTGAGTTTCTATTCCCTGTCCCCAAACTACCCCTTACATGTCAATATGGACTTTCTAATGGGAAATTCAGGGAGTTATTATTTTCTTTCTTTCTTTCTTTCTTTTTTTTTTTTTTTGAGACAGAGTCGCACTTTATCGCCCTCAGTAGAGTGTTATGGCGTCACAGCTCACAGCAACCTCCAACTCCTGGGCTTAGGCGATTCTCTTGCTTCAACCTCCTTAGTAGCTGGGACTAAGGTGCTTGCCACAGCACCTGGCTATTTTTTGTTGTTGTTGCAGTTTGGCCAGGGCTGGGTTCGAACCTGCCACCCTCAGTATATGGGGCCGGCGTCCTACCCACTGAGTCACAGGCACCGGCCCATTCAGGGAGTTTTGAAAAAAAGTTTTATTTCCACTGACTTATCTTTCAAAATGCATGAATTTGTCACCTGATTCATTCCTCTCCTCCTTTCACAATCCTAGGTGGCCCAAGTATGAGGGTTTTGGTCTTTCTACTGTTTGCAGGCTGACATATATATTGCTTTGGAAATGTGTCTGTTCCAGAACCTGAATTGTTAGTCCAAAGAAGCACAGGCACCCCATGGGCAAAGGGCTGGTGAGAGTAACTGCACCATGGCCCTTTGTCCAGGGAAAGGAGAGCAGCCGCCCTCTATGCATCCAGACAGAGGCAGATGCAGTGTCTCGAGCTTTCTTTCATGTATATAAGTATGAAAGTTCAATTTGTGTGTATGTATATACATATACATATGAAAGAAAGCTCAAGATACGAATACTCTTTCTCAAAAAGAACTAGAAATTTCAAACTTTTTTCTATGGTCCCCAGTTATCTATTTCCTGGTGCTCTTATTTAGAACCATACGTTCATTGTACTGTTGTTACACGAACAACATTATTTCATCCTCTAACTTCAACTTTTTTATCCTATTACTTCAACTTATGAGTTAAAGTCCTAAAGGTCCTAACTGTAAGGTTAGTAAGTGAATTAATCCCTGCATTTAAAAATGATTACTTTCTATACAGGGGCAGTAGCATATGCCTATAGTCCCAGCTACTCAGGAGGCTGAAACAGGAGGATCACTTGAGCCCAGAAGTTCAAGACCAGCCTGGGTAACATAGTGAGATCCCATCTCAAAAAAATAAACAATCAAAATTATTACTTTCTGGCCCTAAAATGTATGGATCCAATACTGGGAAGACGATCGATCTCTCAACCCAGAAACAGGTCATAGATTCTAACATAACTAAACAAGGACCAGCAAGATGTCAGTCCCTAGTACAAAATAGAATTCACTATATTTTATTTTATGTATATATGTATGTATGTATTTACTTATTTATTTTGAGATGGAGCCTCACTCTATCACCCAGGCTAGAGTGCCATGGCATCAGTCTAGCTCACAGCAACCTCAAACTTCTAGATTCAAGCCTTGTTGAGTACCTGGGACTAAGGTGCCCACCACAATGCCCAGCTAATTTTTCTATTTTTAGTAGAGACAGGATCTTGCTCTTGCTCAGGTTGGTCTTGAACTCCTGAGCTCAGGGGATCCTCTCACCTTGACCTCCCAGAGTGCTAGGATTAGTGGTGTGAACCCCTGTGCCTGGCCAAAGCTACTTTATTTTATTTATTTATTTATTTATTTTGAGACAGAGCCTCAAGCTATCCCCCTGGGTAGAGTGCTGTGGCATCACAGCTCACAGCAACCTCCAACTCCTGGGCTCAAGCAAGT